TTTTATTTAAAATCGAAATATCTGTTCCTATGGATTAAAGAAAATGTTCAGTTCGATATTCTGCCATTTATGTCCTCCTTTGGGTCAGCAGTCGTAGTCCAGAAATAAATTAACATTTGTTTTGGATTGGTTGCAGAAGAATTCACCTCCAACTTGCGTGTTAATGTATGCCATAACAAATTCTAGGTTCGTTAGAGAAATTTATTTACTGTTGCAGCAATGGACTTGACGAGAATTAAGAAAATCTGGCAAAGCTTGTGCCTCTTCAGACATATCTTAAATACAAAGTTTTTTTTCTTCTCTTAGACTGTTTTCCCTACCACGGCTAAACGGCCCAGCCTATCCTGCTATTTCAGCCATATCTATGGAGAGGGAAGATGGAGTCATGCCTTTCCCGAAGGTATCAGAGTGAGAAAAACATGTAGGCCGGAAAATCAACTCGATTCTCCAATTACATTTTCTGTGCCGACAACCATTGCGACATCTTTATCTCTAATCTCTTGATACACTAAGTACCATTTTAAAAGATTTCAAAAGATTATAGACCGACATTTCTCGCTCCTATTTGAGACATGCAGCAGGTAAAAAATACCTCCAACTGAATCTAGACTCTAACAATAATGTTGACAATACTTAGAAGAAATATGTTCTATTCCTTCTAATATATACAATGTCCCTTCCGCACGTAGAGTATCGTAGCTCTCCGCAACTCCCTATCCTTTGTAGGTGTCAGTGTAGTTGGTCGTTTTTGTTATAACTCATAATACATATTGTGCAGATAATTTACAGAAGCTCCTTATGTAGGTTATGCAATGTTATCCTCAACCCTTTTGGCCTGTGAGTGTCAAATATTCCAAGCCTAGTTTCCTCATTATGCGTCGTAAAAATTTCGACGGTCGTTTTCCGATTCTAAGTATACCTGTGCATTTTGTTTCCGTTTTCGCTAAAACTTGGTCTTTTCACACGTATTCAGTCGATGGTATTCTCAGCATCCTTCTGTAGAACTACATTTCTGTTCATTCAAGTCTAGTCTTCATCTGTGTGATCGATTTCCTGCACAGACTGGCATATAGGAAAACCGAAATTACATAGCAGATCAGTATTTTTTTCGTTGTTCCAATGGAATATATCTTAATTCTTAATACATCTGCTTCAATTTAGAAGAAAACTTTCTTTGTCCCAGTACACCTTCGGATTATGCTGTAACATTTCACATCACACAGGCAATTCAGATGAAGATAAAACCTCACAAAAGACAGGATTTCAACAATTTTTAAGTGGACTGTACTTATCTTTTGATATCAAATGTAGATATTTTTTAAACCAAATGCAAAATAATCAGAAAAAACATTTAGGAAACTTAGGCCTAATTAAGATGTGCTAAATATTACACGCTATATAGGCAGTTATGCAACATTTGCATCAAGAACAATGTTAATAAACATGAGGTAACGGTTGGCCATTTTATGAAGTCTACATTAAGATGTGCTAAATATTACGCGCCTGAGAGACAGTTACCGAACAATTGCATCAAGAACAATAACAGACATGATTAAATGGTTAGCCATCTTATAAAGCCTACCTTAAGTTGTGCAAAATGGTACGCTATATATAGACAGTTATGCAAGAATTGCATCAAGAACAATGTTAAAAACATGATGAAATGGTTGGCAATCTTAAAAGGCCTACCTTAAGATGTGCTCAATATTATGCTCTCTATATACAGTTATGCAACAATTGCGTCAAGTACAAAATTAATAAACATTATGAAACTTTAATAATATTACAAAATGGCGGCTGTAAACGGATATGCGTTACGTTGTATGGATATCGAAGAGGCGAGTTCGAATTGAAAGTGAGAGAAAAGACTGAGTATGGGAAGGATTGAGGAAAGGACAAAAGATGAACGGGATTCAAGAAGACAGAAAATGGCGACTGACGTTGCCTTTAAATTTTGTGAATCATTTCACCCCAAGCAAGGCGGGAATGCCACTAGTACGCAGGGGATTACAGAGAGTGAAAATGAGAGAAAAGACTGAGTATAGGGAGGATTGAAGAAAGGACAAAAGATAAACGGGATTCAAGAAGACATAAGATTGCGATTGATGTTGCATTTAAATTTTTGAAGATTGCAGATATCAGGGAATCAATTAAACGGAAGTTGGTTCCACAGACCGGAAGTGTGAAAAAAGAAGCTGTTGAAGTAGGATTGGTTTTTATTTATTTTTCTTGTTTTTATGTTTTATTTCTTATCTTTTTTTTTCTTTTTTCTACAGTTATGTCTTTATTTCTTTTATTTTTTTTTCTTTCTTTCGTCTTCCCTATATTTTCGTCTTTCATTTTCTCTTTCTCTGCATTTTTCATTCGTATTCATTTCTTTTTACGCTGCCATTTTTTTTATTCACGTTTATCTTTTCAAAAACACTATCACGTCACAATAGAATTTTCCAAGCAAATCACAACCTCTTTTGTCAAATTATTTCCCCCCTTTTCCTCCCCACTTGCAAAACTCTTCTGATCTCCCTCCCGCGCCATTTCTCTCCCCTCTGCTCATTACACGAGACAATTCTTTTGTTTTTAAAGATTTTCGTCATATTGTCCTAATTATTTCGTTCTTTTCCGATTCATTTGGTTCTACGCTAATTTTGCTTTTTCCTTTTCATTCCGTCCCACTTCCATCAGCCTCGAATGGAGTTGCATTCAAATCAAGGAACTCTGTTGGCATTTAATTGTTTCTTCTGTTTGTCTATTGACGCGTTTCCTGGCGTTGTTTGTTGCTACTTAATTCTTTCGTCTTAGGGAAGTCTTGGAGAACTGGCGTGTATAATGTGGAGAATAACGGGAGTGGTGAATTGAGTCAGGTGTTAGATGAAGAAAGGCTGCAGGGGCGGGGAAAAGAAATCCTCCCGAATTTAAACTTGTGGAACCTGGAATTAATCAATGTCACTTTTTAGCCTCTTTTACGATTTCCTCGTTCGCAAAAGGGCGACAAAGGACAAAACAATAAAATGAAATCGTTTCTTTTTGCAATTAACCAAGTTCGATTGTTTTTCGTACTGTTATTTATTTTTTTTATTTTATTATATTTTATTTTTTTATTCTTTTTATTTTTTCTTTTTATTTTTTGTAACTTTAAAAATCTTTTCTTCGTAACTGGTACCACTTCTTTTTTTTTTCATCTTTTTTCATTTTTTTTTTTTTATTTTTACTTTTTATATTTTTTACTCTTTTTTCCGGTTCATCATCATCATCATCATCATCGCTTCCTTCCTTTATTTCTTCCTTCTTTCCTTCCTACTCTTTTTATTTCATTTCCTCATTCTGCAGGCGATGTAAATTTCTCTCTTCTTGATTATAATGTCCTTTGTTTTAACTTTGATTACCATTTTTTCCTTCCTTCCTTCCTTCCTTCCTTCCTTCCTTCTTTTCTACTGTTTTCATTATTCGGACCATTTTAATGATTACATTGTCGTTCATTCCCAAATAATTTTGCTTAGCATCTTTTTCTTGCCTTCTCTCATTCCTTCTTTTCTTTCTTCCTTTCTTTCTTCGTTTCTTTCTTTTCTTTTCTTCCTTCC